ATTTTTTTTCTGGAGCATCCGTGGTGTTTGCAGACTCTTGATCTCTCTGAGGAGTTCGGAACAGAAGCTTGCCATTGGCGTTGATGATCGATACTAGGCGCTTTACATCGTCTGGAATAGTTCTTGCCACCATAACAAAGCGCTCCAATTGGTCAGGTGTCTGGACCTTCCCCGGTTCCTGACTGAGCTTATTTAGAGGCCATTTGGCCTCATTCAGATTCATCACTGTTTGTTGTAAAATCACACCTGAATCCTCTATGATGGAAAGCTGTTTAAAGAGCCTGGTCTGCAGGTTGGCGTCAGTCAAACGACGGGCATTTCCTTTAACATCTAGGGCAAAGTTTAGGAAGCCTGTCAGAGAACAAACAATCAACTCTGCTGCTTCTTTGATCTCCTTGAGATGTTTCTCCAGATGTTCCTTACACCTCCAATGACTGCTGACAAAATGCATGAGTTTGGGCACAGCTTCACAAACGGACTCCTGCAAGTCCAGCAGTTTGCGGCACGCCTCATCCTGACCGAGTGTTACTTCTCGCAGAAGCTCGGGGGAAGAGGAGCTCAGGGCCAGAGAGTCACAGGAGCTGTTGGAAGAGCTGGAGGCCGTGCTGATTCTTTGATGATCTGCTGCAGACTGATGCTTGTTTCGACCTTGCTCATCTTCACGCAATGCAGTTTGCCCGCTTTCTTGAATGCCGTGAAAGGTTGTACAGACCAGAAAGTTCCTCATCCGCTGCAGACGCACTCTTTGGAGCTCAAAATCATTGCTTGAGTTACCCCTGCACTCTATGGGGTTTTGATCATTGGGCTGATCGGTGACACCTTGGATGACGTGTTCCTCCTTGGCTGGAACCACATATACAGACTCTTCTGATGGCTTCAGGGTTGGAAGTTTGTTGTAATCTTTTGGTAATACTTTTGTTGTAATTTGGATATCGGGAGATTTTGGTTTGGGTATATCATAAAGCAATATAGGTGGACTTTCTTTTCGATGTGCTGGAAGAGTGTCATACATCTGCCTGCAAATTGATTTGCTGGACAAGGTATCAGAGATGTGACAGGATGGACTTTGTTTCTCAGGTCCCACTGGCACATCATAGATCAACTCAGGTTTGCGAGAACTGGGAAGGGTGTTGTATCCATCTATCATTTTATTTCGGGATTCTGTGGCTGATGGAATGGGGATGTCATAATTTGGGTCCTGGGAAGGGGGTGGTGGGACCGGATACACCTGTGAACAAGAACAAAGTTGTTCAGCACTTAAAGTACAAGTCCTACATCTGTTTTGCGGGAAACCTGACAGTTGAGTTAGTGCCCTGGGACTTTTGTTTCCCAAACCCGATCCAATGAAGCATCTTTTGGATGTTCAGGAACAAACTTGACTCATAAAGGCCCAAATTAGCTCTTCATCAACCCCAAAAATTTGCTGCTAACATCCCAGTGCCATAAGTCAGATCTATGTCCTTACCCTGATAATCAGCAGTACTTTGTTAGACAAAGGAGTAACAGGCAGGTTAATTTTAATGTTTTGACTGATTTTCTGTATTTAAAAATAATAACAGACCACATTTATAAAAGGCACCAATCCTTGCTTCATTAACCTCTTAACATCTACCATGCTAGTTTTGTTTTTGCCAAATGCCAAAGGAAAAAAAAATGTTACAAAACATTAGAATTCAAAAGAAATCTTCATACATTTTCACATCTCTGTTTTTGTTTTTGTTTTTTGGTAAAAGGCTTCATGTTCCAAACAGGTGAAAATTTTATAGAAAGGACGGACATTAACCAAATCTAAACCATATTAACCTTTGAAAGATATTACGAAATGAATGACTTGGTAGAGAAATTTATGGAAGAGGATTAGGGCCACTGGAAAAAAGTGGGAGCGTCTTTTTTTCCCCTTTTCTAGAATTCTGAGAAAAAAGTCAGAGTTCTGACTTCAGTCTCGGAATTCTGACTTTAATCTTGGAATCCTGACTTTAATCTCAGAATCCTGACTTTAATCTCGGAATTCTGACTTTAATCTCGGAATCCTGACCCTTTTTTTT